TTCTTTTTTACTAGATTTGTTAGTTTCTTACCAGAAACAGAGCACCTACCCTCAGTGGCTACCTTCTAATCTATTCAAGGTAGGGACAATTAATTACCAACTTGTTATAATTAGGGGTAAAATAAAAATAACTAGGTTAAAAGCAAGGAAGTTTCAAAGTGTGAAATATATATGCTCCAGATTGTCTGTCTCTTTTGATTTTTCAAGGTTAAGAAAATACTAAGTGGTTTTATTTATTTATTTGGTACTGGAGATACTGGTGTGCTTAACCACTGAGCCACATTCCCTAGACTTTTTTTATACTTTATTTAGAGACCCAGTTTCACTGAGTTGCTTAGGGCTTTGCTAAATTGCTGAGGCTGGCTTTGAACTTGTGATCTTTCTGCCTCAGCCTCCCTAGCCGCTGGGATTACAGGCCTGAGCACCATGCCTGGTTTACTAAGTGGTTTTAGCTGTGTTCTGGACAGCTGAATTTGCCACATGCCACCGGAAAGGAGCTATTGCCAAATCATAAACAAGTGCAGTACTGAAGGTACCACGAGGGTGCCTCTGTGACATAGCCAGGATCTGAGGCTGAGGCTGGAGCTTACTGACACCAGGGCTGTCCTTCACTCTGTGCCTCCCACGCCCTTAGCACAGTTCCACTAACTCTAATACATCCACATTGCAGGTCAGGATTGTGGAAGGCAGCGGCCGTCAGTAAGGGAAGAGAATGGGCTGGAGGGTGTCCTTGGTCCCTACCTGTTCAGATATTCTGCTATATTCTGAATGCTGCTAAGTCTTGTGTGCAGAAGCTGGGGGTCAATCCTACTGCAAAGTGGTTTCCAGAAGTGTGTGGAAGCCCCAGTTAGATGTGACCCCGGGAAGCTTTGAGTTGCTTTCCTCCTAAGCCACTCAAAGGAGCACCGCCCTGCCTCCCCGCCTCCCTGCCTCCCGGTCATGCAGACCATAGAAGGCATATGGCACAGGCTCTCTGAGCCCTGAGTTTGAGGCTCTGGAATTGTCAGTTTCTGTTTTATTCAGGAATCACTTAATGCAATAAACATAGTTTCTGGATATTGGTGGCTGGAATCATAAAGCCACTCAGTGAGCTCATATCAAATGGGGATGTTATGGGCCAGGCTATGTGGGCTATAAGCAAACAGACTCCATTTTACCCTGAGACTCCGTGTCATGTAAGAAACGCTTCTCCCACGAGAAAACTCTGCCTCTGCTGTCCCGATCCTGCTTAGCACATCCTGCTTAGAAACGCAAATGTTTCTGTTCTTCTTATACAATGTAAAATTGCTCTCTTTTTTGGGTTCCCATTTTTCTTGGGCAGTGTACCCTGTCAGAGAATGTTTGTCTAGACCTTAGTAACCATTCTTTAAACTGTACTCAACTAGGGTCATTTTGACCTACTTCTCCTGCTTATGATTTTAGACCTCATGATGTTTGTGTGTAGTTTTAAATCACAGCAACAGCCACTTATGACTAATGTACTGGCATGCTTTAAAAGGTGTGCCCCAACTCCTGGAGGGGGTCGAGGAGCCTTGCAGCTTGCTCTCGCCCCGCCAGCTTGTGCCCCCTCCAGCTGGTAAATAAAGATGGTTTCCTCTCCTACTTTAAGATCCCCTCCACGATTTATTGCAATCTCACCATAGCAGGGACACCGCTGAGAGGAAACCGAGGTTCCTTCCCCTTGCAGCTCGAGTGTGCACACATGCAGGCTTGGCCTCTTGCCTCAGGCCTTCCTTTCCTGATTTCTCAAGAGGAAGCCGGCACAAGACCACTGCACTAGCAGCAGTCCATGTAGACGCTCAGTTCAAGCACCAAGGAGGAATGGTAAGACCCATTCCTGAGGGGGGGGAAGGGTCTCTCTCTTTCTCTCTCTATTCTTTTTAGTTATATATGACGGTAGAATTCATTTGATAAAATTATACAAACATAGGCTATATCTTATTCTAATTAGGACTCCATTCTTGTGTGTGGAGTTCCATCCCTGGGGTCTCTTAATTCTAATTCACAACAGGGAGACTCTTCTTGGTTATTGGGTAACTAATAAACAGCCACTCTGCAAGTCCACTGTGTGCCCTGTTCTGACCAGATGTGTGGTGGGGACCAGGGGCCATGACATTAGGGCATCGCCCAGCACCCAGTGCCCAGGGAGTGGTGGCTTGGCTTGGCTGTGCTAGACATCCCTGCTGTATTTTCTGATGTTGGGCTGCAGACCTCAGCCAGAAAGCTTTTTCTGAACAGGCCCAATGATGGGATGGAAAATCCCAGCTGTGTGATTCTGGGCAAGACACTCCACTTCTCTGACCCAGTTTCAATCAGAATAACAGCATCCAAGTTCTGGCAGCCAGAAGTCCAAAATCCGAGGCATAGACAGGGCTGATTCCTTTTGGAGTCTCTGTCCTGTGCTGCTGGTGACTGAGGGCAGTCCTTGGCTGACGGCCACATCACTCCAACCATGGCCCTGTCTTCATGTGGCTTTCTCTCCTATGAGTCTCCTTAATGTAGATTCTTACCATTGGGTTTCAAATATGTTAAAACACAACTTTAATAATAATATGGAGTACTTTTAAAGTAACCTTTGTCAATTAAACAATGACATCCCAACATTTCACTTTTTGCTACTAATTAATAATATTTTGTCCCAAGTCTGGTAAAATGAAATTCCCTCAGATTTCCTCCAATATATATTCACCACTGGCTCTGTTGCTTTTGCAGCAACCACGCAGCTGTAAGAGAATTTGAAAGAAGCCTTTGCTAAAAATGCTCTGGCACATGGTTTAGTTCTTGTGAAAGAAGAGAAGAGTCATAGTTGGATCACAAACCTTTCTGAAGTAGATGATGAAATCATGTTTGGAGTTTAAATGTTCTCTTCAGCTCACTTGATGCATATATATGCATTTGCTTTTTAAAGAGCCAACACTGTTGCCTGTGTTGGCCCTGAATCCTGGGTTCAAGTGATCCTCCTGCCTCAGTCTCAGCAGTCACTGGGACTACAGGCATGTGCCACTGCATTTAACTCTCCTTGTTTAACTGTCTGTATTAATTGTAGAGGGCTTCATCACCCCAACCAGTGCTGCAATTTCATTCTGAGCCTTAAATCTGATCTTTGTGTCTTTTAAAATTGTGTCCAAAATAGAAACTCTTAAATTCCTACAAAAGTGGAAACTGGAAGTTCTCTACAAACAGGACACTATAAAGTGGGATTGGCCTCCGATTTTAGCGGGTTAGTTTTTATTTGTTTTTTAAGTTAACAAGCTTTATTTATTTATTTATTTATTTTTTAATATTTATTTTTCAGTTTTCGGTGGACACAACATCTTTGTTTGTATGTGGTGCTGAGGATCAAACCTGGGCCGCATGCATCCCAGGCGAGCGCGCTACCTCTTGAGCCACATCCCCAACCCCACAAGCTTTATTTTTTAGAGCAATTTTGGGTTCAACACAAAATTGAAAAGTACAGAGAATTCCCATGTACCTCTGCCTGGCACGTGTACCACCTCTTCCATTACTGACATCCTGTACAATTAAACAATGTGCAAGACTGGCACATTATTACAGTCCATGAACCTACACAGACACATAATTATCACTCAAAGTCTATAGTTTATATTAGAGTTCACTCTTGGTGGTGTACATTCTATGAGGTTTATTTTTTTGTTTCTTTTTAAATTTTTTAGTTATATAGGTGGAAACAATATCTTATTTTTTATTTTTATGTGGTGCTGAGGATCAAACCCAGTGCCTCACGCATGGTAGGCAAGTGCTCTACCTCTGAGCCACACCCCATCCCTCCTATTTTTTGTTTCTGGTTTTCATGCTGGGGACTGAACCCAGGGCCTTCTGCATGCTAGGCAACCAATCCCTCTACCACTGAGCTCCTCCCACCCATGTTGTATTACATTGATGTATTTGTTCTTTCATCAATACCACCTGTGGTTACTGAAGCTATATTAGGTTATGAACCTGGGTCATGTCAGTTCTCTGCCTTTGTTCTTCAATATTGTATTGACTGTTCCGAGTCTTTTGCCTCTCTATCTAAACTTAAGAACTAGTCTGCTGCTATCCCAGAATAATATCCTGGAATTTTTATCAGCATTTCATTGGATCTGTAGAACAAGTTGAGAAGAAGGGATGTATTAACAATGCCGAGTCTTAATCATGAACATAGAATACCCCCATCCCAGGCAGCAGGAGATTATCTAACTTTTTGTTCTTAACCAAACTGTAGCTGAAATATGATATCTTAGTGTAGTTTTAATTGGCATTTGTCTTTTGTTGTGGTTAAGCAACTTTTAATAGGTTAAAGTATATGAAGTTGTCATTTTTGTAAGTCAAAATTGACAATTTTGTATAGTTCAAAGTAACATATTTGTTAGTACTGGTGCACAACGGTAATCTCAGCTACTCAGGAGGCTGAGGCAGGAAGATGGCAAGTTTGAGGCCAGCCTGGGCAATAATAAGACCCTGTCTCAAATAAAAATCAAAAGGGCTGGGGAGGTAGCTCAGTGGTAGAGAGCTTGCCCAGAATGCTTGAGGCCTGAGTTTGATCTCCAGCACCACAAAACCCAAAAACATTAGTATATTTAAGAGCCGCTTTACTCAGAGCAGTTTTTGTTCTTTGCTTATTTTTCTACCAGGTTGTTGGTCTTTTTTCTTTCTTCTTCTTAATAATGAATAGTAGGAGATATTTATATTTTATGCAAACTAAACTTCTGTGTGTCATTTGAATTGTGAATTTTTCTAGTTTGTCATTTAATTTTGCCAATGGTAGTTTTTTTAAAAATATTTTTTTAATTGATGGACCTTTATTTATCTTTCTGAGGTGCTGAGGATTGAACCCAGTGCCTCACACATGCTAGGCAAACACTCTACCACTGAGCTACAGCCTCAGCCCACCAATGGTAGTATTTGTGTGTAAATTTTTAAAAATATTTTTACTTGTAGATGGACACAATACCTTTATTTTATTTATTTATTTTTATGTGGTGCTGAGGATTGAACCCAGCGCCTCACATGTGCTAGGCAAGTGCTCTACCACTGAGCCACAACCTCAGCCCTATATGTAGATATTTTGGATGTTAACTTTGTCACTTGATTAAGATCACAATTGCTAGATTTATCCACAATAAAGTTACCCCCACACACTTTCCATGCTGTATTCTTTGGAAGCCAGTGGCTACATCCATCTCACAGGAGGGTGGGACTAGTTTATTTATTTATCTATTTATTTGTTTATTTTTATGGGTACTGAGGATCGAACCCAGGGCCTCGCACGTACTAGGTGAGCGCTCTACCGCTGACACAACCCCAGCCCCCTGTGTGACCTTTTAATGATGAAAGCTGGATTATATCAAATTTCCTGCTTGTGCTTTTGGATGGCTGCCCACTGTGCGCAGAGTGAGAGGTGAGTCTGTGCCTGGCCTGAGAGATCTTGCCTGGGGCAGGAGGTTGGCAAGTTTGAGGCCAGCCTGGCAATTTAGCAGGACTCTGTCTCAAATTGAAAAGTCCAAGGGTCTGAGAATGCAGCCCTTTGAGCAACTCTGACTCCTCCTGAAATGCTCCTTCTCCAGAAAAGTCCTCCCAATCCCAAATCTCATTAGACCTCCCTGTGAAGACCCAGTATTTTTCCTCATGTGGCAAATAGTACCTGGTGGTCACTCAAATCCTTTCTCTTCTTCTTTGGTAGTAATGAACTTGCCACTGGACATATGATACCCATCTACACTTCATTTCAACCCTCCCTTGAGGTTGGTTGGACCATGTGACAAGTTCTCTTTAGTGGAATTTGACTTGGGATGATGTGTGCCACTCTCTGGAGTGGCCCATAGACATTCCTATGCATGCCCTCCATCCCGAGGACAGGAATGACCCTGTAATGGTTAGGATAAAAGGTGTCCCCCCAAAAGCTGCTGTTAATATTCAGAGGTGAAATAATCGGAGTATGAAAATGGTAACCTAATCAGTCCACCCTAGTTTGATTGGACTAATTTGGTGACAACTGTAGGCAGGTGGGGTGTGCTAGAGAAGCTGGGTTTTTGAGGATGCATGTACACTGGAGGGCTTCGTCTTCTACTTCTTGGCTGCAGTGCAACTTTCCTCTGCCTTGCTCTTCTGTCATGATGTTCTGCCTTTCCGTGGGTCCAGAGCATTGGAGTTGGCCGACCATGGACTGAACCTCTGAAACTGTAAACCCCAAATAAATTTTTCCTCCTTTAAGTTGTTTTTGTCTGATAGTTTGTCAGACAAACAAATAAATAAAATGACCAAAATAAATAAATAACAACAAAAACCCCCAGACTACTACAGGCTCCAAACAGATGACCATGGGAGTGGCATGCAAATGGGTACTACGAGGGTGCTTCGATGACAGCATTGGGCAGGCAGCCCCACCAACCTGGACCCCCAGTCTAAACTGCTCTATGAGGGAGAATCACATCTCTGGGGCCTATTTGTTTCTGCAGCTTAGCCTATGCCAATGTGAACCTTCTAGTTCAGTTCACATGTGATCAGTGGTGAGCAGCAAAAGGCTGAAGGAGTGAAGGGAAGGCTTTGAGTCTGAATGGAAGAGTAGGTTTATTATGCCTTTTGTATATTTCAATGACAACCCGAGAGATGTGGAATAAAATATCCACCCTCACAAATGCAGTGCCGGGAACTTTCCCAAGCTTGCAAGAAGCAAGTACCAGAAGCAAAGAGAAGCCTGAGCTCCAGAGGAGCAGTCGGTGAGCCGGGAGGTTGGCAGCCCCAAGGGCTGGTGATGGGTAGAAGCTTGGTGTTTTGTTGTTGTTGTTCTGTTAGTGACTTCAAAGTAGCATTCAGTGGGGGCTGGGATAAGCTCATTGGTGGAGTGCTTGCCCCACATGCACAAGGCCTTGGGTTCAATCCCCAGCACCACAAAATGAGCATTGACGGTCCTCTGCTAGTCACTCTGCAGAGCTCTTGACTGGCACCTGCTCATTTAATTATCACCTCCTTAGGAGGGAGGTGCTGTTAATGTCCTTACTTTATGAGGAGCCCAAAGCATAGAGAAATTAAGTTACTTGTCTTTGATCTCAGGCTGGAAAGAGATTAGAGGTGAGACTGAACCCAGGACATATGGCTTTCTGAGTCAGTGTTCTTAAGGCACCATAAGTCACTACAGTATGCCAGGGTCATAAGTAGAAAGATGAGTAAAAACAGGACCAGCTTTTGCCTTGGGAGTGATGGTCCCACATGCCTCCATCAAAACCCACACATCCTGTGTCCCAGCAGGACCCCTGCATTAGACCAGAGAACAGAACTCTGTTCACCTTAATTCATTTTCTGGTGCTATAACAAAATACTCAAGACCAGGTGATTTATAAAGATTAGAGATTTATTTAGCTCACAGTTCTGGAAGCTGGGAAGTCCAAGGACCTGGTTTTGGTCTCTGGTCAGGGCTTCTTATCGCATCGTAATGACAGAGGCATCCTATGGTGAGATAGCAAGGTGCATCAGAGAGAGCTCATAACATTATTTGTGTTATGAATAATGGATTAATTCCCCAAGCCCCCACCATACCATTAATAGTTGATTTAGAGAGTTGTTTCCAAAACCTGAATTCCAGGAACACATCCAAACCACAGCGCTCTTCCTTCTGCTTTCCAAGCTGTCAGTAGCCCTGCCAGTTCAGGTCTGTGGGGGAGGAGGTTTAAATTCTTCTTACTCACTACATTCTTCCCTTCTGAAGAACTGGGAGTTGTAATATTACTACCAGGCTCTGCCCTACAGCACTACAGCCCCCTGTGCTCCACCTATCCTGGGAAGCCTCCTGGGAATCAGCAGGGTAGTGGCTGTCGTGTGGGAATTGGCCACAGGAGCTACTATTAGAAATAAGTTCAGATTTCCCTTTCTGGAGCTGCAGTTGTGGCATAGGCAGAGAGGAACAGGGATCAGGAACCCTACATTACAGGTGGAGCATCCCTAATCCCAAAATCTCAAATCCAAAATGTTTTTTTTCTTTCTTTTTTTTATTGGTTGTTCAAAACATTACAAGGCTCTTGACATATCATATTTCATACATTAGATTCAAGTGGGTTATGAACTCCCATTTTTACCCCAAATACCAAAATGTTTTAAAATCCGAGACTTTTCAGCACTGACATATTGCCGCAAGCGGAAAATTCCACATTATAAAACATTGCTTCATGCATAAAATTATGTGAGATATTTTATTAAGGTACCTTTAGACTCTGAATAAATCATATATGAAACATAAATGAATTTCCTGCTTAGGATCAGGTCTCAGCCCAATGTCTCATTATGTATATACAAATATTCCAAAATGGGAAAATTCCCAAATCCAAGACATTTCTGGTCCCAAGCATTTTGGATAAGGTAGATGCAACCCGTATTTCATGTCCTTGGGATCCTCCAGACATGCATCATTCTTGTGTCATTCTGTGCATAAGTGCCATATATCACAGCATAATCATCACCACCACATAATCATTGTGCCCTGTTTTTTTTTTTTTGATCCAAAAATTGGTTTATAACTTTTTATTGTGTAATTGTTGCATGGTATGATTTCATTTGCCAGGAACATATAGGTGCATGTTTCTGTTCTCTTGCTCTGTGATCTATGAGTATATTTCCAAAAGCCAACACACCAGGCTTGTTTAGAGTACCTCAGAACTAATGGTGAACGCATCTTACATGTGGCGCTCATGAGGACCTCGTGATACCAAGAACTGTGGTGCAGAACCTTGGAATACAGAAGATTACATTTTGTAAGTCTATAATTTGTAACACTGTAGTAAATTTTCTCAAGAAATATAGTGATATTTCTACTATAACAAATAAGTTACAACTAATGTGTTAACTTTTTTTTTTTTTCAGACAGGAAAAATGTTCCCTCAACTGTCAGGAAGAAATGATAAATGTGAATTTGGACAATTCTATCATTATTTAATTTATTTATTTATTTATTTTTTGTGTGCTACTAGGGATCAAACTCAGGGCCTTGTGGCATGCAAGACAAGCACTCTACCAACTGAGCTATATCCCCAGCCCTGGACTATTCTATTTTAATGTATATTCATGAGTATTCTGTGCATCCTAATCTTGCACCAAAGACAGTTTACTAATAAACAATTTTTAAGTAATACTAGCACAGTTTTTAAAAAGAATTTCAAAAATTCATAAAATCTGCAACAATTATGTGGTGAAATATAGTATTCCCCCACAAACATAGGAAAGAGCCCTCAGATTACAGAAAGATGGCAGTAAGAGAATTCTACAGTGTCCCCGCTTATCTGAGGTATTGCTTTCTATAGTTTCATTACCTGAGATTAACCATGGTCTGAAAATATCAGATGGAACATTCCAGAAGTAAAAATTCACACTTTAAATTGTGTGCTGTTCTGAATCATGTGATGAAATCTTGCCCTGCTCTGCTCCATCCCTCCCTGGACGTGAGTCATCCCCTGTCCAGCTTGTCCACGTGGTAGAGGTGAACTCACAGCTTTGGCCACTTGGTAGCACTCTTGGCCACCAGATGGACCGTCACAGCATTGCAGCACTCGTGTTCAAGTGCTTCTTATTTCACTTAACAATGGCCACCAACGTTCAGGAGTGGGGATGCTGAGGAGGCACCAGGGCACAAAACATGGAGGGACAGATCCGCCATGGTGCCACGAGGCCATGCTGCAGGACACATAGGAAAAAACATTACATATATATTGTGGTTTGGCACAATCTGAGGTCTCAGGTGTCCACTGGGGGGTTTTGGAACAAACCCCATGGATAAAGGAGGAGGACTCTAATTTCTTGCCTCTGCTTGTTGCCTAAAAGGTCACCTGTGCCTTGAATCTCCACAAGGGGGCAGTCACACACTTGCTTCCAGGCTTCCCAAGGGTGAAAGCCTTGGTTTTCAACTTCATTCAGGAGCAAAAGATGAAATCTAGGCTTTGCCAGGGGATAAGTTAGAAATGAGGCCCTGGCACAAAACTAGGGCCCTTGGAGGGTTGCGATCACTTTATAAGAAAGACCAATAAACATCCCCCTGGTTCAAGGAGGTAAGTAGGGAGCTTGACTCAGCGGTGGCTGTGGCTGGGAAGAAACAAGATTCCTTGATCTCCAGGCACACAGCCAGGAGCCTAAATCAGCCCATTACGTGGGAAACTCAAGCTGAGAAAGTATCATAGAAATCAATCCCAGGCTGTCTCTCTGCTTTGGGTGCTGCTACGGTCTGAGTGTTGGTGCCTCTCCAAATCCATTTGTTGAAACTTAATCACTATTGGGATGTGTTGGGGGCATGGCATTTGGGAGGTGATTAGAACCAAGGTGGAGACCTCAAGGGTAGGGTGAGACCTGTCCAAGTCTGTTTTCTGTTGCTATAACTGAATGCCACAGATTGAGTAATTTATAGAGAAAACAGGCTTATCGAGTTCACAGTTTGGGAAGCCCAAGAGCATTATGTGGACATCTGCTTATTATCAGAGGGCCCTCTTGCTGGGTCATGACATGGTGGAAGACATCACATAGAAATACAGGGCAAACCAAGAGAACTCAGTTTCACAGCAAAGTCGCTCCCATGATAACCATTAATCCACTAATCTGTTAATCTGTTAATCGATCCATTCATGAAGTCAGAGCCCACATGACTGAATCCTCTCTTAAAGACCTCCCAGTGGGGATTCCACATGGGTTTTGGAGAATATGCAAATCATGGCAGTGCCCTCACAAAAGAGGCCTCAGAATGCTTTGCTCCTTCCACCAAGAAGATGCCACCTGTCGACCAAAAAGTGGATTATTGCCAGATACCGAATCTGCTCTCACCTTGATGGTGGACTTCCCTGCCTCCAGACTGTGAGGAATGAATTCCTGTTATTCATAGGCTACCCAGTCTACGGGATTTTGTTACTGCAGCCCGAACAAATTAAGACAGGTGCACGGTGGAAGCAACCATGAGCCGGGAAGGAGGAACAACTCCCTCCTAGCAAGCTCACAGACAAAGGAAGAAACAGCTTCCCGTGAGCCAGAAAGGCTCGCACCTCAAGAACATCCCTTCTGTTGTTACCAAACCCAGGTCCTGAAGCTAATCCACCGATAAATCAGTGTCCGAGTGGGGAGGAGGCTTATTCAGAGGCCATGGAATGGAGAAGTGGGGGCTCTGCTCTCAGATCAGCCTCTGTACTCTGGGGGCAGACACAGGTAGGAAGAATGAGGGGGAGGGCCAGGATGACAAAGGGAAGGATGTCCCATCTTTCTGGGAACAGGCAGAGATCTTGGCTCAGGTGTCACCACTTACTGCTCCCTTGTTTCTGGTCATGGCGGCTGGTGGCGTCTTTAGCCTTGAAGTGGGAGGAGAGAGGCTGAGCACTCTAGAGGGAGTAAACCTGTATTACAGTTCTGGACTGTTTCACCACGTCCACATGCAGTGCTGAGTAGAATGTGACCCAAGGTTAAGGCAGCAAAAGTGAGGGACACAATATGAAGACGGAGATGCCAGGCCTGTTCCTCCGGTTCCAGTCACCCACTGGGCATCTGCAGCCCAAGTGAAGAGTCTGCGCAAGTTGAGTCCTTGAAAAGTAACCAAGGCCACTGTTAGTCGACATAACCCATATGTCACATCCGGGTGCTCTATGGCAGAGCTAGTTGGGACATTAATACATATTGCCCAGCTCAGTAACCTCCAAAATGAGTGACTTCTAAGTCAATTTCATTCAAGGAAACTAGAGGGTTTATTTAGTTTTTTTTTTTTTCCTGGTAACATTATGTTTTGGATTTATCCCCCCAAGTTTCAATCCCCAAGGTAACAGTATTGGGGTGGTGGAAACTTTAAGGTGGGGCCTAGCAGGAGATGATTAGGTCATAGGACCTTTGGATGGGATTCATGCCCTTCTCAGGGGAGAGGGTTAAGTCTCATGTGATTGAATTTGTTCTCTCAAGAGAAGACTGTTAAAAAGTGAGGCCACCCCACCCCAGGTGCTTGGTGCTTTCTGCATGCAGTGGATTCCCTTTCTGCATCTCTACCATGTTGTGACAGAGTCAGGAGGCCCTCAACAGACACACCAGTACCATGCTGTTTGGACATTCCACTTAGCAAACTCCTAAGACAAAATAAGCCTCTTTTCTTTATTTATTACCCAGCATTGGGTATTCTGTTATAGCAACACAAAATGGACTTGTAACAATGTCCTTTTCAGCAATTTAATATTATTTCAACGTTACCTTGTTAAAACCTTACCGGTTATTATTTTTTTTAATATTTATTTTTTAGTTGTATTCAAACACAATATCTCTATTTTATTTATTTTTGTGGTGCTGAGGGTCGAACCCAGGGCCTCTCTCGTGCGAGGAATTGCTCTACCGCTGAGCCACAACCCCAGCCCCCCCTTACTGGTTATTTAGTGTTGGAATACTATGTTCTAATTTCTTTTTCAAATAAAAATGAGAGAGAACAAATAAGGACAGATTGAAAAAGAACAGTGAAGCAAGACTTGTTGTAGAGAATAAAAATATTCAATGCTGTGACAGTATTGTGTCCATCAGGGGCCAATCAGGAAATAGAATCCACACAGTAATTTGAACATGGAAAGTTTAATATACAGCACTATCACCAGGGGATTGGAATAATGGGGAGTCGACTAGTAAAAGTTAAAGAGAGGGCTGGGACTGTGGCTCAGTGGTAGAGCGCTTGCCTCCTATGTGTGAGGCACTGGGTTCGATCCTCAGCACCACATAGAAAAATAAATAAAGTTATTGTGTCCATCTACAACTAAAAAAATAAATAAATAAAGAGAACTCTAAAGACAAAGAAATAGCACCTACAGGAAGCAGCCATTACGCTGAGGGCAAAGATAAAGCATACAAGGAAAAGCCTCCCCCAAGACGCGACCCTGAGCTGGTGGAAGGGGGCAAGGCTAAGCACAACGTTTCCTGCGACACTGCAAAGCTACCCAGATATTCCAGGGGCAGCTGCTGGCTGCTGGGCACGACTGGCCACCGTGTGCTCAGGAAGTTGGCAGTGGAGAAACTTTTTCTCATGGCCAGAAGCTACTGTTCGCTGTGCCCCCAGGAGTCTGGTATGGAAAACTTCCTGCCCCAGAGCTGGGCTTTGCAGGCTCTGCCCGAGGAAAACCCTTCCTCCCGAGGCGTCTCTTCGGCGCCCCCTGTTGGCAGGCGCGGCGCAGGGTTTTCAGGAAATGGGCTTCCGAAGGCAGGGGAGCCTGAAGCAAGAGTGAGATCCCCAGCCCAGGGGGGAAATCAAGGCAGGGGAGCCTGAAGCCAGAGTGAGATCCCCAGCCCAGGCGGGGAATCAAAGCAGGGGAGCCTGAAGCAAGAGTCAGATCCCCAGCCCAGGGGGGGAAATCAAGGCAGGGGAGCCTGAAGCCAGAGTGAGATCCCCAGCCCAGGGGGAGAATCAAGGCAGGGGAGCCTGAAGCAAGAGTCAGAGCCCCAGCCCAGGGCGGGAATCCGCTCGTGGAGCAAGTGAGTTGCTCGTTGGTCTTCTACGCGAGGCTTCAAAGACGGCTCAGGAAATAAAGTTCCATTTTTAATTGTAAGTACTGTTTTTTCAGTGCAGACTCGGGAGTCGATGACTCATGATCTGTTTTGCCCACAGAGATCAGACCGCTGGGATTTGTGAGCGACGTCAGAGTTACAGTAAGAAAGTGGCAGATGACTAGCGGGACCCAGTGGCAGATGAGATCGTGCCAAGATCATTTTCCAGTTGAAGCAGAGCAGGAACATCCCTGCAGCCTTTGGATGAGGCCAAGGTTGGAGACTCACTTGGAGATGCTAGTGGCTCTTTCCTGGACTTCATGTCAAGTAAAGCCTATTGTGTGTCTCTTGCTGTTTCCAGGCCAAGGTCACTGGGAAAAGTAGAGAATCTGGGCCCTAGTGATTGACAGCTCAAGTTAGGAAACAGCAACAACTGCTGAATGCTTACCTGACCCCTGGGAGGTGGGGTCGGTTGCAGTGA